GCAGAAATCTATATTTCCGACGAGTAGCCCGGAGCGGTAGAGTCAGGGGGGGGGGAGCCTACGCGACCAGCTCGTGTCCCCAGCCTACCCCCCTCCCCTTGGGGGCGTATGTGTTGTCTGTACCGGGGCAATGCCCGCGCAGGGCACCCATGCTGACGGAAAACGGTAACAAACTGCCCCACAACACCTGTCTATTATCGTGGAGGGAATTTCTGTCTAATTGAAGTGTTTTCTTTTCTTCTGGTAGTTTTGTCAGAGAAAGTAATAGACATTATGTCAAAGTTGCAAGATGAACGGTTTGAAAGAAAGACAGGGAAAAGGGTTGTGAGCAAAGTTTCGGAAGTAATGTGAGGTTATGAAGTTCACGACATCCGTCCCTCAAATTTGCTTGAAGTGACAACGAACTGCGGTTTGAGTAACTGCAATAAAAGAAGCCATATTTACGAAATGGAAAATTCTAGTAGATCAGTACATGTCAAATCAATACAAATGAAGTATAAATCCTGAGCGTTATACCTAGGCCGTGAAAATATTAGATAAGAATTCCATCGTTTCTGAAGAGAAAGTTGTAAATGCTTGAAGTATAAGGTTTTCAGTATGGTGGGACATCACCCCCAGTTCCATTTTCTGTGACACAGGTTCGAATCTCGTCCAAAGCTGAAAAGGAGATAAAATTTGTGCCGAAATTTCTGCGTTTGAGTCACCAGTAGCACGCCCTTTGAAGGGGGGAGAAAACCGATTCTTGCATTACTGGAAACAACTGAACAACGGAAGAAAAAGTACAAAATGATATCCCATAATCGCCTTATCGATGGATGAATATTGATATTGCCACGATCTACATCTCAGTATAAACTATCCACATTCAAAGAAATATTCAAAGGATACTTTCATCTATCTTAACTGCAAATATGTAAGGTGTAAAAGTCGATTTCCCCATGTTAATTTTTTTTAACCACTTCCTTAATGGCAGAGAAATTAATGACCCCCCTAGTTCTTTTTCTTAGCACAAGATCTTGTAACAAGTTCGATTGTACAACTTGAGATATATCTTCCCCAATTCTTCTTTGAAGAAATAGGTAAATAAATAAACACTGAGAACAAAACAACAACATCATCATAGAAGTAGGCCTAATCTTAGAATAACGCTGTGCATTTTTCTGAAAAAATGAAGTGGCCGTTAATTTAGCCTGCCGCGCCAACACATACTTTGGATCATGAATACGGGGGCAGACCATAGCGCGGCCTGACAGACATGTAGCCCCGGAAGATAGCGCCGTGGCACGGCCGAGTGGCGTGTCCGTCATCACCGGCTGGTGACGGGCCCATAGTCCGATGCCAGACCGCACCCTTCTGGCTGTCTCTGACGCGCAGACGCTTCTGATAGGGCGTTAAATTGGATGGAAGACAACGAACAGATATACCTGTCGAAATGGCAACAAGTTAATTGATTAGTGGTGTGCAGGCTGTAGATATTAGCAATTGTCTCAACGAATGTTCAGTATACTTTCAAGTTTTGACAGGTGTGGATGAAAATTTCCAGAGAAGGTGCAACTGATGACCTGTTTTGAGGGACAATTCGAAAACAGATGCAATAGCTGGCCTAATAATGCCATCTGTGTTCACTCCAGGATGCATTGATTGTGCTCATGTCAAATAGAACCATATGGAATGTACTTAGGAAACGTCACGATATGTGACCTCCAACTTTCACAATAGCCTTGCGAACTCACTAAAGCCAGGCAACAAGTGCTCCATTTCGCAACGCTAAAAACTGTCTAAAAATTGGTCTCAATATTGAGAACAGAAACTACTCTTACGACAAATTTCTGTATAGCCTCACACCGACAGGTACCGTAACGATATGTACTTCCATTCCCTGGATCTCCGCGCCAATTCATTTACATAAATCATTCCTGACAATACCCCATCCGCTAAAAAAAAAAAACCACCCGGCAAACAATGATTCATTACCACACATTCCCTCTTCCTGCCCCCCTCGTCTCCTCCCCCCCTCCTTCTTGTCTATCTGTCATTCAAGCTGTCCCTCCGAAGCATATTGTGCGGCTAGCCCCTGTCTCGTTGGAAACCTCTGTCTCCTTTCTATCATGTCTCTCTCGCTTTCTGTTCTTGGCCCGCCCATCACCCTGAGCTCGGCCGCTCGCCGCCCGTGCCTTACCTGTCAGCCTCCATGCCCCTCCGAGGAACAAGTCTTCCTCCTGATGTGCTCTCCCAGAGATCTCTATATTTATAACATTCCGGGGCCGCGCACATAACGTCCCGTTTAATGATTCATCTTGGACGAGATTAAGTTTTAGAGATTCTCTTGTTTTTCTTTCTTTTTCTGCCCCGTGCATTAAGGTCAACAAGAGGGAACTTCCGATCTCAGCGTGAAAAAAAATGGAACAGTTAAACAGAATCTGACAGGGGCAGCGACGCGAAATGGATCGGCAAGTTGTTTGAAGAATTCTGTCCTAAGAAATACATAAACTGGAGCGCTGATAAAACCAAAGGCATTTTTGATGTCCATAAATACGTGTCACTTCCACTGAAGCTTTAACAGCAAATGACACCCATTTACAGGATCCGGGTCACATTAATGTTGATTTAACAGAGCAGGTTACTTTGTCGCTGTAAAAATGCAACAATAACAAATTTCAACTGAGGATAATTCCAAACTTGCTTTGCGCTTTATCAGTAATGGCAATGTACAGATTGATAATCTCCGTCCAGTATTCACTGATAATCCAAACTGAATAATGTTTGATCTGAGAAAACATTTAACGCACACAATTACGCATATTTATTATGCATTTCCAAGACTACATTTCTTAATCTTTTAATCGAGACAGCAACGACGTAAACTTGCCGACATAACTTGGACAACCAAAACTAACTCCTATAATTATTCCTTCCACAGGTTTTCTCGTTCGAAATGGAACAGAAACCTTCAAAAAGTTTCTGACTTAACGCGAGCAAATTTCTGCTTCGAAGGTTTTGCCTGATCAGGGAGACAATAAAAAATGGAAGCTTGTCCGTGAACCATCGCCTCACAATGCACAGTGTCATCCGAATGAAAGACATTTGATTGAAACCAAAGTCGCGCCATATTCTTGCTTGAGAGCACATGCAAAACACCTTAAAAACAAACGAACAAACAAAACACTTCCTTTGATGTCTGTCCACGAAACAGCCGTTAGTGAGCGAGTCTAAAGTGACTTGTAACAGCTGGAACTGAATATTTACATTAGCTCATGAATACCGAGGAACCGTTTTGTTCTACTCCTACTAAGAATATTACCGTTGATATTAAGAAAACACACAAACAATAACCACACCCAACGGTGTGCTAAACAAAATCACCAAAGACACACCAAACAGCGGCTTGCAAATAATATTACTTAAATTGAATTTCCCCTAAATGCTTAGAAATCGGCATGTTATAAAGTTAGGCTTTCAGAAAGGAAAAAAAATCCAAGGTGGGCTGGAAACTGAACCACACTTAACAACAGCTCTTCAATTCACTGCTTCGAGTTTTCTAACATGTCCAGACGTCTAACAATAATCCAAACTGCTGAAAATCTATGGATTTTCAAGGCCATTTTTATGTCCATACAATCTGTGGGCTCAGCGAATTGTCTGAGGTATTACAGGACCCTTATTTTTCTGTCGTGAAATTATTCACTTTAATTTCATTGTTTATTTATCAAGTTAAAGACATTGGGCATCTTAGCGACAACCTTATAGGCCTACCCATCGTTCAAAATTTCTAGATCTTTAGCCAGTCGAGTCGTCTCAGGTAATTACCCGTCTGATCTTGTAAATGGAGATGAGTTGCAGAAAAAAAACCATTTCTGTCTTGAATCAGCGATTTATAATTCGATTGGGAGCATAGCACGGTTGGCGGATGCTTACGTAGCGTCCTCGGCCTACCCGTCCTCCTTGAGATACAAGAAAACATCACCGACACCTCCACCCATGTACCTTCAGTAGCACCTCACAGCCTCTAGACCCACTCGCCCCATCGCCGACTAACCACACCTTCAAGACTTGCAGGTTCAAGACTGGCAAAGACGAAGGAAAAGAAGGAAAGAAAGATAGAGAAAGAGAGGAAGAAAGAGGTCCTTTTCTCTCGCTCCGCTTTATTTACACATCCCAAGGACCGAGCCAGCCCGCTCTAGTTTCCCCGTCTCCTCGTATCCTATGTCAAGCACATCTCCCGAAGGAGACACCCCATACACCGCTTATGCGCCTCGATTCAGGCGATCACTTGACCCCCCCCGATCAAAAACACTGTGAAGGAAAAAAAAAATCTATCTTCGATGGTTTACAAGAGACAACAGAATAATAATAAAAACCTGTACTAACTCGGTCTGGATTGGGCGATTGGAGAGCGGATGAGGCCAGTAAACTTGAGGGATGGAGAAGGTGCACTGCATGCTCTTGGGGGCAGACCGGGTTGTACATACGTCTTGGGTAACCCCAGCTGGCAAAAAAAAAAAAAAAAACAAAACATGGCAAAGACGTGCTGAATTTTGTTGGCTGGGCGCAGGGGCCAATCCGCGAGTACTGCGCCCCGCAGGGCCACCGTCCAATTCAAAATTCCCCCAGGGGTTGACATACTGTGAGGCTGACATACAAACGACCACAACTATCGAATAGTCAAAGAAGCCATTTGGTTATCATGAGATCTCTGAAAGTCTTTTTTTCCCTCTCAACCCCAACCCCTATTGAGCCCACAGATCTTGCGACCACACTATCGGGATAAGGGTGTCACTGTGCCGAACGTGAACACCTTGCTGTCCTCCCTCCCTCAATCACCCCCTTCTCTAAAAAAAAAAAAAACCCTGCTGGTATTCTAGAGTGGTGAATCCCAGAGTAAGGGGGCGAAATCTCTCACGCGCGCTCAGTCAGCGCGCATATATAGTTTGTACAGAGGGATTACTTTAACCCAATAACACATGCCTTGTGTGTGTGTCTGTCTGTCTGTCCCTCTCCAGCTAGCAGCACCACCGTGCATCGCCTCAGTTCGTCTGTAGCCGGGCGTGTTTTGAGACTGCCTAACGCATCGTGCCGTTGTGTGAGTGTGTTGCGTTGAAGAGCAGCCACGCAGGCCGAATCGCCTACCGCGCCCGATCCTCTCCAGTGACTGACCGCCAGGTATACGGACTGCGGCACTGTCTGGCGGGGTATTCTATCCTTCGCGTCCGACCAACCACCGCTATCAAATCCTCACTATTTACAAGGTATGTTATCCGGCTGCATCTCCTAATTAATCGTACATCCCTTTCTTTTATTTGCCGTCCCCCGGTTTTTTTGGTCGAAGAGTTCTCGGGGTGTTTTTATCCGTGCGAGTGGCCTTGTTCCATCGTTGTGTTCGCGGTGTGCTTATTTACAAGGCGATGAAATCACCCAGTCATGCATGTCTGCTGAATGTGCTTTAATCTGGGAGCTGTATCACTGAAGCAAAGGACAACAAAACACAGAAAACTTAGTTAACAGCCTTGACCTTCAAATACTTTTCTTTTCTTCTTGATTAGCGGTAATATTTTGTTTGGTGCTGTGACTGGCCGTAACCTTTTTGAGCTGGGTCAAGAGTGTGTTGCCTGCTCGGCTAAAACGAGGACCGTTAGCACTTCAGCGTCTCCTGTCGCAGACGCTTAATTTCACCAATCTCTTCAACCCGTCTGTAATTATACAGCCATGATTTAATTGGCTTTCTTGGTGAGACATTTCTTGCCTTGATTCTCCGTTCTGTCTGTGTTTTACGGCAGCGGTTCGCCGACGAGGCGGCAGTGGATTCGAGTGCCGGCGACGAGCCCTCGCCGTATCGACGCGTTCACCGTCAGAGCCTGAACCAAACGCCGACTCCTCGGATCCGCCAACTTCGCCGGGTTTGCTGTAGCCGTCGCCTGGTCCACTAAGAGCAACTGTCTGTCATATTTCGCCTGATTCTTCAGTCTTGTTTGCGTCTTCGAGGGCTCCAGATCTCATGAGCGATATGTCGTTTCTTGCTTTGGATTCCAACAGTTGGCAGGTAAGAGATACTGACTTCAATTTTGCTTGCCTTGGCCAGCATGGATCTAATCTGACACGTTGCTGGTGAATTGCAGGTCAATGTCACCCGCGCCTTGTAACAATAACCCGCTTTTCGTTCCCGTCTTGATCACGACATTCACTGCGGGCGAATGCGTTAGTGGCTTTACATCAAAAACGAACCGTTGAAATTGTTCAATTTCACGGTCACATCCTCATTATTTAATCAGTTATCCATGTCACCGATCGTCTCTTGCTGGGGGGTGGGTGCTATCATAATTGAAGGTCGGGAGATCGAATCAACAGACGGCATACACGTAAATTTTAGGGATTTGGTTTCTCATGACATCGTTGGCAAATAATGAAGCAAGAATTCCGATGTCTTTTAGCTGGTGTTCATTACCCAGTTGAGCTGCCGCCTTTTGGGGGGTTAGGAGAAAGAGGTACATATAGCTACATCGTGGTTAAGCTGACTCAATCTTTCCCTTGGCTAATTATCTCGGAGCTTTAAAACCTGACAATAGCCGCAATGGGTGGCTCCCAGCTCGACATAAACAATTTTCCGGGGTTCACTTGTCCCTCTCCCCCCCTCTTTTTTTTTAACTTAATGCGCCCCCAGTGCACCCTGATTGTCCCGCTGTGGGCACCGGTTTACCACCCCTTCTTGTCCCGTTAAGTGGGTGCACAATGCTCACCCTTTCCCCTTTACAAATGCCCAATTTGTGAGCTGATTGCAAAAACACCGGCTTCGGAAGATTTTGCTTTCATCACCAATTGGGAAATTGATAAACAGCTCTTTGTCAATGAGGTGTTAGCACAGGCGCGTGGTACCGAAGTCTGTGCCTCGATGCTGCCTTGATAACTATTATCCCGTGCATGTTAGTTGGTGTTCATTTTCTTGATTTGTGAATGTCAAGTTCCGAGGATTTGTCCGACTTATAATCGTGAAGCATGATACGTAATATACACACCACTGAGTATTTATGACGAGTTATTTACGAGCTCTAAGCGGTCATCTGCGTGCAAAACTTGCGACGGTAAACACGGAGTGCGCAGCCGTAGGCGCGCCACAACGGCTGCTGTTTCATTCAACGAACCTTATTTAATTGTACTTCGTAACGGTGTAAACACTTCTGAAGAGAAGGAAACCTTACAAATAAAAAAAACCAACGCGGAAAGAAATGCACTCAACACCAGGAGCTATAACGGGAGGACTTCTTAAGAGGGTCTGCAAGACAGAGAGGGGTCAGGGAGCAAGATTATGTGGAGGAACCGGAGTGTCCCTCTCTCTACCGTTAGATCAGCACAGCCCTTAACGTCTTATGAAGTTCGCTTCTTTTTGGCCCCCCCCCCTCTGTAACATGCACCGGTGACGCCCATCTATTAATCTCGTCATCCCTGGTCGCCTTTATCTGGATACATCTTATTATCAGCTCGCTCCTTGGCCCTGGAAAGGAGGAAAGCAGAAATCGGAAATTCAAGTGCCCCCCTTCCCCCACATTGAGGTCACGGGGGTGCGTTGACTCGGATGAAGAAAAAAAAAATGATGTCATGACGCCTGTTGTTGAATATGTATGACAAACTTCTTCTATGAAACCCTCTACCCAGAACAGTGGTCTTTCTCTTTCGGAGCGTGCCGCTCATTCGATTATCGTGAGTTTTGTACTCTCGACTTGAAAGCGACTACTTGAAGTATTTCGTTTCAAGACAGTGATGCTGACATTTTCCAAGTTCTTCTTATTTTTTGTCCACTTCTTACAGGTCTATTCATAAAATTGCTTTCTCTTGGATTTTAACGGTTCAAAAGAGCCCTTGTCAAGGGGATCAACAACTCTTTTTAACATAAATTCGACCAGATTTGACGCATTGTGTGTTCTAATACGGCTTCAGTATAAATGATGGAAAATGTAATTTAAGCATGCAGTAGACCTATTTGACACTAAAACATTCTTTTCTTTCAACTAAATGATTTGAAATCAGTAAAGGACCCTCCAAAATTATCTGTTGCCATTTTAAACGTGAACATAAAGAATTCTGGCTGAATAATTTCACAGCTTGTCTTGTTTGTTCTTTGAAAAATAATCATATGTCACATCAACACCAAAGTGCAAGTAAGACCAAAATAATGGAGACGAAACAGCGCGCAAATTAAAGATCGACACAAGAGACGTCACTCTCAGGGTGAAGGCTTGGGTTATCTTTACACACTGGAACGGGACGTAACCTTTAAATAGAAAGAACCGAAGCTCACATGACACACTGGCCGGACGCGGCTAAGAATTGTAGAAGAAGGATCAACCGAAAAAAGGTCACCGAGATGGAAGGAAGGCCAAAGTGTACCCTAAGTGCCGTTGGCATTTTGCCTTGGCGCTAAATGCTAACCCAAAACGTGGGGGGAAAAGACTGTGGTTTGCCAAGTACTGTGGACCGCAGGGTAAGGGCTTTTGCGTTTCTGAATAAGTTGATGGTAGGAAATAATTACCCCGAATTTGTCCTGTCGTTGACTGTTGTGCTGTTAAGTATTGGGCATGAAAGTTGTTAAATACTGCGAACTGGCTGATTTGGTATTGCTTCTAAGTGGCTAGTGTGAATATCCGACATGGCAGAGCTTTCACCTTCCTCATGCTCGACAGGTGAATTCTGCCAAGCCGATAACCTGTCGTCTCGGGCAGGGACTGGTCCCCCTCCCGACTGCATGTCACCGACGCATCGGTGGACAGAGGGCGACCTGTTCCTCTGCCGGTGCTGGGCGGAAGAGTTAGTTCCTGGTTAGCCCCGCTCGCTCGACACGGAGCACGTGGCGGGACCGTGTCCCGACCGGGCTCAAGTTTCAACCACCCAGACCGTACGGGGGGAGAGAGAGCGCCGCAAACTTCCCATCCGGGGGTCGCCCGAGCGCGCGGTGCCCACTGCCCGGCGCTGGCCGTGCCTCGCTATCGCAGACTCCCCGTATTGGATCTCACTTCGCATCAATTAAGGTTCTTTGACGCCCCACCTGCCGCGCGCGTTACCATGTACGCATGTTTGTTTGGGCCTGTGTTTCCAGAGAGTAATGTTTGATGGCTTTGATATGATATCTCGTAAATTTAGCATTGATTCTGGGAGGGAAACTAAAGCCGTGGACTGTATCGCTTCCAGTTTACAACTGAAGACCGCCGCGCTGTCACTGCGCTCATGCTCAATTAGTTTTGATTATGTTCGGCCGTGTAACGACGCACTCAACCATTACCAAGCAGTCAATTCGCTTACAATACTGGCGAGATTTTCTCGCACTACAGTGAAACAGAAAACTGTATCAACAATGGCAACCACATTACCTTGAAGTGAATTCGATATTATCTTGAGTTGGAAGTTGCATACTATAGTGTATGTTCCCTTTAGTTTTATTTATTTATTTATTTATCATTATTATTATTATTATTATATTCTGAAGCATCATGTTTTTTTTAATATACTTTCGTTAAAACGCATGCAAATACATTGTCGTATGCATAACTATGCCTGTATACTATAAAAGGGGCGGGACAAAACTGAGGGGTTTTTCAAAACTGAGGGGTTCTCTGTTCATAAAGAGCGACTCCACTTAAATTAGATGTACGCTTCGTGGTTATTCGCTTAAAATCTCAACCTTGTCGCCTAATTTATGTCATGAGTCGTCTATGCTTATGACGTCACGAATCGGTCAAAGGTTGCCAGTGTATAAACTAAATGCCATGACAGAAAGTTTATGCATGAACTTGTAGTTCACAGATCGGAAGAAAGTAGGGTGGAATTTTTTTGTGAAATTTGTCCTTTCCCTCAAAAGAAATTGGCACAATTTTCTTCGGGGTTGCTGGATGTCCAGATGTTTAAACATTTAGCTTGTTGTCTTAAGTCTCAAATGTTTTTCTTTCCTTTATCGTTATCAAATGTCAAGCTAAATCTGCATAATGAATAAAGGAAAAAAGGTGTGGACTTGCTTTCATCTCAAGTCTTCCTTGGATCATGCGGTACAATTTGTATTTACATCATGCTTGGATACCTGAATTTTGCTTTATTTCATATTATTAATTTTAGTGTGGCAGCCGTAATTTTGCATATCACACTCCAGAAATTGTACTCTTTGGTGAGGTTCCGTCAATCACCCAGCCTTTACTCTGTCCCCTCATGCATGTATTTATGATAAGCTTTCTGCCCGGTCAGTTAAACAGCACGGAGGACAGACGGACAGACAACTTAATAAACCCGCAGTGGAGAAAATAGTGTTGATGAATTGAACGATTCCGTTTATACAACACCCGTGCAGGGTACCTGCGCGGGAGAGCGTGGGGCGCCGGGCGCGCTCTGACGGCGGGTAGCGTGTGGAAGTGACGGATGGCATGCTCGCCGGTCCGTGACAAACTCCGTGTCCTGATGAAACGCCGGCACTGATCAGAACAGGCAGTGACCAGCGCGTCAATTGGGCAGACCATCGGAAGCAAATTAGCCAACAAATAGTTGGCCGCGTTGAGCTGAGACACACGGCCTTTTGGTTCTTGGAGAGCTTTAGCGGGATTTTTCTGAGGTCGACCAGATGGAAATATGGGTGTGGACGGTTAAGTTACGCGACTCGCCCATCTTCTCCAAGCATTTTCAGCAATGGGACAAAATCCGCAGCTTCTGCCTCAAAATACCTGGCATTATGGTGCCTCGTTAATGATCAAATTCATACGGTTTCCAGTTGGGGAAAATCAACTTTTATATTTGAATATTTATGATTGTCATGACTATTCTTATCGCTATGAGGCGAGATACAAAGTTTTCACTTAGTTAAACATGCAATGACTTTTTTTGCGATCTGAAAATACTCTTTTCAGTTCCACAATAGTCAATGCTTTTCTCAAATTTTGTTTTTACTCCCGTGACTACACTAGGAAGACACTTACTTAAAACTGCATAGTTTTCTCGGTTATAAAAAACCCATGATCCATCCTCGCTAAGAATCCTGCGGTCTAGGACAGGAATCTGTGTATTTTGCAAGGT